TGTTATATAGTCAACTGTATATGAAACAACATTGACTATGCCAAGTTATTCTATGTGATACTTTCTTTTTTCAGATACAAAAATTCATAGCTGTTGATACATGATTTTTCAGAGGCTTAAAATACTGAAAACAATTTACGGATTACAAACAAATATGAAACTGGCACATCTTAGCATTCCATTCCTAAAAGGATCTATTATTATCAATACCATGCTATGTCCCAAAAAACCGGGAGTATAATCACTCTAGCTTTAGCCCTAACTGGCTTATGCCTTAAGTTAAGGAAAGGTTATCATCTATTTTATTTCTAACCAAAAATAACTTAATAAGGATAATTATACTACTATCAGTAGTGTAACTTGACTAGTATTAGTAATGAAGGTTTCCTAGTCGTAGGCCAGTGTAAATATCAAAACTAGTTTTTAATTTTACTCAATTTGAACTTATAAACGTTAAAAAAACTCTATCTTGTGTTAACACAAATGTTACGTTAGATTTGTATGGAACAATTTTTGAGCGGGTGTTTATTGGTTTTACCATTAATAATAGAGGGGCGTTAAAAAGCCTACAGATAGGATTCGTTTACGATTCTATAGACTAATAGAGTTAATCTAATTCTAACTTCTTGTTCTTCTTCTTACCTACCTGAAACGCTAGCCTTCACGACTCTCTGAACAACCGCTTTCATGTTTCTGCATTAAACTCAGCAGTTGTGATAATTATTTTAAGCTTTTTATAACACTATTTTCAAAGGAAAACATTAAAACAAATAATTAATCATTAAGTTAGTTTAAACCACAAATATACAAAAGGCTTTCGAACACTCCATAAATATTGCATATAATTAAAATAATACAATCTCGCCATCTACTTTAAGAGTACTTAAAACCATTAAAAAATACAAATTAAAAATAATATACATCATAATTTAACTGCAAAATACAAATTTAGTAACTGATGATAATCAAAATTTTGAGATTGCAAAATTATATTAAGTAATTTCTATGATGCACTTAAAAATAAAGTTAATTTATAAGTTTTATAAGTGCATACCGTCCTTGAAAAATCACCTGCCATTTCTTCATTTACACACAGATATATATATATATATATTATTTATTTATGCATTAAACGTTACGTAGTGAATGCAAAAATAATAATGTGTTTGTTTATTTATAACCACAAAGCTGCACAATTATCTATCTGTGCTCTGCTCACCGTGGGTATCAAAACCCAATTTATAGCGTTATAAACCCTCAGACCTACTGTTGAGCCAACAGGAGCAATAAAAACGGCTAAACGTGTAGATCGTATTCTTTTTTTATTCTATATTTGCCTATATTATTAAATGAATCTGAAAATCACTTAATATTTCTCATCCTGATACATCTTTCATTTTGTGAATTACAAAAACAGAGCAAAATATGTTTATCAAAAACTCAATGCGGTTTATTCCTAAAATTCTTATAAAATGTTAAAATTTACTCTCTTTTTTTTTCATTTTGTGATTGTGTTCTTGAGTCAATAGATGACGCTGCAGATTGGCATCTACTGTCTCTTGAAGTTGTTTGCAGGATGTGTTTTATTATTTTATCGTTGTTGTTGTTTTTGCCTAAATACACTCAATGGGCTAACTGCGGTCTGTTCACTGCAAGGAATCAAGCCCAGAATTTAGCCTGGTAAGTCCGTAAGTTTACCGTTGACCCAGTTAGGAACTGTTTATACGTAGGGCTTAAAATTCAGCGATGTTATTTTAATGTAATTTATTAGTCTCGATAATTGTATTTGATTTCCATATCGCTGTTATTAAAAGATGAAGATTTTCAATCTTCAAAACTACAAAATGAGTAGACAGGACAAAAGGCCCAGTAAATTAAAATTTCTCACTGTAGACATATAATTATACCACTTCTTTAGATTTGCCAAAAAATAGCTTTCCAACAATATCCCTCTAGAGAGAGAGAAAAAAATACAATTATCTATTCGTTATGTAACTTAATTTATTTATTAAATTATAGATGTAATGCTTTCCCCTCCAGCAGTAAGCTTGAAAGCTCATAATGCTAATATTCAGGGTTTGATCTCTATGGTGGACACAGCACAAATAGTACACTAACCTACTTTGCGCTTAAGCAAATATAACATTTGCATTTCTTTCTTTCTGTTTTGCTTAAATTCGCGAGTTGCGAGTAAATAAAATAAAAAATTGACAATTTACCTAGACTAGAAAACAAACCATGGACCCCAAATTTTTTACTGATTGGTTGTGAAATCTTTTCTACAAGCAAATAAAGTAATTGACTGCCTAACTCACTTTAGTGAGTATTCAAAATGTCAATGATTAATTAAGGCATTCTGAGTGGATAATGAAATATGATAATTGAAATTTTGTTTGCTCGTTTGTGTTTAAACGCAAAGCTACACAATGGGCTACCTGTTGTGTGCCCATCTGGGGTATCGAACCCCGATATTTAGCATTATTTCTCCCATAAACTTATGGATGAGCCAACGACGGTGTTTATTGAAATAAAAATGAACTTGAAATTATTGTAAATAACAATTATTTTACACTGTTTACGTTTAGAATACGAGATAAAACAATATGTGTATTACATCATTTTATTATTAATTTTCAATGGTATTGATACTTTTTAGCTTTCAAAGAATATACTGAAAGCATATGGATAAGTTACCAATTATACTAATATTTAATCGGTATTCTTCGATGGGTCCGCGGTAAGTTTATGTACCTACAACGCTAAATTCCAGGATTCGATCCTTCGTCTGGTAAACATGGGGCAGATAGCCCACTGTGTAGTTTTCTAATGAGAAAACAACAACATTTATTCAATACTCAAAGCTGCGTAGATTCGAGCTATTGTTTTTAAACGGCCACCAGTCTTCTGCTAAAAATGTTTGTTGTTTAATATTTTTAAGAATTAACAAAATAACCAATAGAAATACGTGGATATTTAAAAGTATTGTAATCTTTTTCTCTTTGTTCGTTATTAAGAACAAAGCAACATATAATGGGCTAACTGTGCTCTGCCCACATCGGGTATTGAAACCAGATTTTTAATGCTATAAGCCCCTAGACTTACCGTTGAGAAACCGGAGGAGGGGGTGGGGAATAATGTATGCACTTCCCAAGATAATATGTGAGCCTACTCCGACACATACCGATTACCACTGTCTATATTGTGTTCAAAAGTATAAAGTACTGTCAAGTCATTTATAGAGCCTACTATTTTACAATTTATAAAAGTTTGAGTCGTTTATTTATCAACAGAAACTTATACAAGTTCTAAAAATTGCTAACTCTTTAAAATATTATAGTTTTCAACTGAGTAAAGGGAGTTTAAAATGAGTCATAACAACCGATACATAATAACCAGTATAGAGCATATCTGAGAATGAAATACTATAAAATAATGGTAATAAAGGTGAGACAGGGGAGAAAAATAACCAAAATGATATCAGCTTTATTGATTCAAAATTATTTCACCACACTCTAGTGTTGTTTCTTGTTAAGCACAAAGTTACAGGGATATCGAAACCCGGTGTTCAGTGTTATAAGCTTTCGGTTTGAAGTTCGTGCAAAGCTACACAAGGGCTAATTTAGCAGTGAAAGGCACCAATCACCACCAACTCTTAGGCTACTCTTTTACCAACGAATAGTGGGATTGACCGTCACATTATAACGCCCCACGGCTGAAATGGCGAGCGTGTTTGATGGTACGGGGATTCCAACCCTCGACCCTCAGATTGCGAGTCGAGCGCCCTAACCACCTGGCCATGCCAGGCCTTAAGCTTTCGGACTCAGTAATGGTGAAGGGGCTTACTTTTATAAACAAATTATACAACGTGTCAAGAGATGATATGAACACTTTCTAGTAATAGATAAATTTCGGTTTATCCTGGACCTTTCACACGTGTATAATTCATAGTCCCCTACAAAAACCAAGATTGAAGCTGTTCATAAATAAGAGTGCTACTGTTAGAAACTTTAGACTTGCATAACATTAGAATGTATACATTATCATCTTAACAGGTCTTGAATTTTTTAATTTTATTTACAATATAACTGCATGAAGTTCAAACGTGGTTTGATGTCTAATAATAATAATACGTTTAATGAACTTTAAAATATACTTTATTTTCTCAGTTTTAGATTGTAGTTTAAAATCGACAGATGGTGCTGCAGATTTGGATCTCCTATTAGTAGAAGAGTGGTTTAAATTAGTAGTTTAAAATGCAAGAACAACTATCTATTTTTACATTATTACCATCCAAATAATTTTGTTTGGTTTCCACATCTCTGTAATTTCTATATGAATACAATTCGTTCTGCAAAACAAAAAAGGATATACATATGATAATATGACTTACATTGTTTTATCATATAAATAGCTATTACCACAGTGTTATTTATCATTTTATTTAAATATAAATGTAGTTTTTAATTTTATTATTTCAAGTCGTTTCTACGAATAAAATAGTATTTTATTAACTGTGTAAATAACCCGTTCCTTATGATCACAGTGGACAAAGCACAAATAGCCTGTCAAGCAGCTTTAAGCTCGGCAACAAACAAACAACCAAATTGAAAGATTAAATTTGTAAGCATTGAACAGGCAACTGTTACAACCAAAGAGAGGACAGACCCTCAAATGTGACTTCAGTTTACTTGTACAAAGTTGAGATTGCTATAGATGTGAGAATTGGCTGTTCAAATAATGCAAAAAATAAAATAAATAACTAGGCAAGGGATTAAACTCACCTTGCATGCCAAGTTATATGATGTTTTTAAGGCATTATTTATATTGATGGCGGTAAGTTTCGTTTGTTTGTTGAATGTCGCGCAAAGCTACTCGAGAGGTATATGCGCTTGTCGTTTCTAAGTTTGAAGCGACAGAGTATAGGGAAGGTAGCTAGTTAACATCACTCACCGCCAACTCTTGGGCTACTCTTTTTCTAATGAATATTGGGATTGATCGTCACATTGTAGCGCCCAAGAGCTGAGGACTAGACATTACGGTAAAGCTTACTTCGTGGTTTTTAGATATCCTAAATTTCAAGTAATTTTTCCGCAATTCTCTTTGTGGGACTTTTTCCCATAGGTTTAATGTTTCATTCAAGAAAAGTATATTATAGTATTTAAACTTCACTTTGATTTTAGGACACACTAGAATTACTAGATTAGAATACCCAAAGATTCATTTAAAATTCTACATGAAGCAAAGTAGACACGTACTTCATTTATAATTGTAAGTTAATAACATTGACAAAGTATTCAAAAAAAAATTACTGAGACAACGATTTGTTTGTGTTGTTTTAAACTTCGCGCAAAGCTACTCGACGGTTGTCTGCGTTAGCCGTCCCTAATTTTGAAATGATAGACTAGTGGGAAGGGAACTAATCAACACCACCCGCTACCAACTCTTGGGCTACTCTTTTACTAACGAATAGCGGGACTAACCGTCACAATATAATGCCCCACGGATGAAAGGGCGAGCATACTTGGGACGATTTTCGATACCACTACCCCTCACATTGCGAGTCGAGAGTTCTAACCACCAGACCATGCCAGCTCCCCATTGACAATTTACTTAGTTTAAAACATCAACGTATGTAAATGTAAATTAAAAGACGAAATAATTATTTGCTTTAGAAAAGCAATATTTCACTAAACAACGAATCACGGTGTCTAGTTGTATTATCACATAAAATAATTTGGTCGCAGCACGTAATTACAATTAATTATATCTGTCATGAGACAATAGTATCAGGCTTATTGAATTCTTTAATACTACGTTATTTATTTTGTCCCTTACAGATTTGCTGAGATGTGTTTGT